ACCCACGTGAGTTTATGGCCTCGTCTGCCAATGATCTCAGATACACACGATAGTCTATATATGGCTCACAATTCACTTCTGCCAAAGACCTATGCCCCTGTGTACGTGCTGCAAAGCATCTCTTGCACTGCCCCTCTCACAACGTACTCCTCTTTAATTGTCCACTACCACTCCTCGCACCCTCAGGCCATCCTCAGGTGCACCCCAGACGACCACCCAGACCACGCCCCACTCACCACCCATGCCCTGCCCCGGGTCAGGCGTGTGTGTCAACATGTCAACAGCATTGTCACCAAAGTGTCAAACGCATACAAGCTGCAACGGCTCGCGAGTGCGTTGGACTGTAGTACACTCATCAAGCCAGTGGACTTGTATGACACGCCACGGGTGATTGTGTTTGAAGGGCCGCTGGAGGTTAAAATGGCCCACTCGGAGAAGGACGGCGAGCTGGGACGCAAGAGCGACAAGGTGGGTGAGGTTGTGTGGTCAGTAGTGTGTATAAATAGATATATATATATATGTGTGTGTGTGTGTCTGTGTCTGTGTCTGTGTCTGTGTCTGTGTCTGTGTGTATCTGTGTCTGTGTCTGTGTGTGTGTGTGTGTGAACAAGTTAAGTGCATATATACATATATGTGTGAACGTGATAATATATGTATGTGAACGTACCTTATTTTGTACAAGCACGTGGTTAGGTAGGCGCTCAACTATATACATGTGTGTCAGTGTGTATTCTGTATGCTACATGCACGTGTATGTACTTAATCTGTGTGTACACCCTGAAACCTTAAACACCAAAACCCTAACAACCTGTATCTCCCTTTTCTTAACTATACGATGTTTTGTGCGCCATCTCACGCGTTGTTTAGTTTGTGCGGCCATTGGAGTCAACATGTCTCATTCTGAGACAAACAAACTAGACCGTGAGAACTGTCGTGGTCCTTAAAGTCCAAAAATTGCCCTTAAATTCGGACCCAGGTCCTTTTTCCGGGTTTGGGGTGCAAGGTTTAAGGCACCCCCCTGTCCACTCACACGCTACAGGGTGTGGTTTGTCATTGCGGCCGCTTACTTACGTACCATGTACCCACACAGCACCCACAGTTATATTCCTACCTACAGCATGCCAACCCTTAACAACCTTAAAACCCTAAGACCCTAAAACCTCGCCATGGAACATAGTCTGCTATACCTATACCTACATACTACATTCCACTGTAATAAAAACACACTCATCTATGACGCACACTTAATCCCATAACACACACACACTCATTAATCCCATACCACACACACACTCATTACTACCCATAACACACACACACTCATTAATTCCCATAACACACACGCACTCATTAATCCCATAACACACACACACTCATTACTACCCATAACACATACACACTCATTAATACCCATAACACACACACACTCATTAGTCCCATAACACACACACTCTCATTAATACCCATAACACACACAAACACATTAATACCCATAACAGACACACACTCACTGCTACCCATAATACACACACTCTCACTGCTACCCATAATACACACACACTCATTAATCCCATAACACACACACACTCATTAATACCCATAACACACACACACGTACATGCACAGGGGAAGATGAAACAAGGCAGAGAGGTGCACGCCATTCTGCTGAGTGACCTGATGCTACTGACCTCCAAAAAACCCGACAGCGTCAAAGTCATTCTGCAACCCATCGCACTGTTCCAACTGCTCGTGAGAGATGTGGCTGCAACGGCTACGGACGCCAAGTCATTCTACCTACTGTCACTCACGGGTGGGACTAGCCACATGCACGAGTTCATTGGTATGAGTCATGTCATCTATGTACTCTACGTTTATGTATATCAGTCTTCTATATAATATACGTTTATATATATTAGTCTTCTACATAAAGTACGTTTATACATATCAGTCTTTTATATGTTGTACGTTTATGTATATCAGTCTTCTATTCAGGACTCCAAAACATTATATCTGCTGTCATTCACGGGTAGGTATGTGTATACGTTTTAAGTAGTGGAGTATGTGTATATGTTAAGTAGTGTAGTATGTGTATATGTTAAGTAATGGAGTATGTGTATATGTTAAGTAATGGAGTGTGTGTATATGTTAAGTAATGGAGTGTGTGTATATGTTAAGTAGTGCGGTATGTGTATTTGTTAAGTAGTGTAGTATGTGTATATGTCAAGTAGAGTAGCATGTGTATATGTTAAGTAGTGTAGTATGTGAACGAGGTGTTTAAGTTGTACCACTCATAAGCAATCACCCTACTGTATTATGCAATTCATATTAATTGCTTACACATGTTTCCCTCCCTTTATTATGTATACCTACCTTTAATATGTATACCTATTATACCTACCAATTTTATGTATACCTACCCTTTATTATGTATACCTACCTTTCTTATGTATACCTATCTTTCACATTTATACCTACCTTTCTTATGTATACCTTCCTTTATTATGTATACTTGCCTTTCATATTTATACCTACCTTTCTTACATATACTTACCTTATGGTTGCTCTTGTTGACCTCCTTTCGCCCTTTCACCTCAGCATTCTCTGCGGCCGAGAAAAATAAATGGATTTCTATTATTGAGCAAACCATTGCCGAGTGCAACAGTCAAGCAGCCACACAGGTGAATGGACAAGAACATGGGGACCACTACGTCGCAAACACTCCCAGGACAGGCGGGCAGGGGTAAGAAACGAACTGTACTGCTTGTGTATGTGTATATTAATATGTACGCATGTAAGTGTGTGTGTGTGTATGTATGTGTGTGTGTGTGTATGTATGTATGTATGTATGTGTGTATATGTATATGTAT